GTGACGTGTCAGTGCGAGTCACTGCCACAACAGCGACATCAAGATTTGATGCAAAAAATTTTTTATTTTAGAATTTTACTGATATTGCAAATACTTTTTAGTTTGTATAATAGAAAAAAAACAATTAAGCAGCAAAAAAAAAGTTGCAATTGGAAAGAAAATAGATATAAAGACTACAACGAATGTGCCAGAAAAGAAAACTTCAAAAATTACAAATGTTACACCAAAAAACTTCAATGTTAGTGTCAAATGTCAAAAATCTTGTGTTCGGCAAGTATAGCAAGTCAGATGTAGGTTGCATATAATGCCGAGAACCGTTCGGCAATTTCTGGGAGAAAAGTGGAACATGTATTTTGAAAAGACGAAAAGTGCAATAACAACTTTTCTTTAAAAGTGATGTTTAAACATAATCATTTTGATAAACAAAGTATCCCAAAATATGTTTTTATTATTCAGTGTTGGTAATCAAAGTACCCCAAATATTAATTTTTTTTCGTCATTTTAAATGTAGTGATGCTTTAAAAAAAAAAAATGACAATACTTCTCTTATTGCTCACCCCCTTTCTCCTTTTTAGGGCTCTCTAAAACAAATGTGTATGATAGTTAAATCTGCTTTGTGAAAGATTGTCTATGTACTTAATTTTAGGCTGATATCTTATTCTGTTCATTAAACATTTTCAGTAAGCACTCTAGCGTTGAAAAAGCGTTAAATAAAGTTGTTATTTAGGTTGGATTAACGTTGGACGGTTATTGGAAAAGATGGATAATGTTAGATTTAGAACGTTAATCAATGTTGTGATTTTGATGCAAAGCAAAGTGCATTTTTTTTTTTGATAAAAGTTAACATGCTCTGGGACTCAACTACGAAAATTAGAAATATTTGCCATTACACACTAATATTTTGCAAAACATATTTTTAAAATTTTAAAAATGATTTTAAAAAAACCCGAAACCAACTATGGTTTTGATTTTGATCAACTCCAATTAAATCTTGAGTAATATTTGCGACCATTTTGTACGTGATAATTTGACGGAATGCGTAAGAATAGCGAAGTTGAAGTCACATATAAAGATGTGCCCTACATAAATGGATACACTTGATGTTTTTGTATCATGCAGATTTTAATGTTATAAATAGCTAATTTTCAGAAATATTAGCGATTTTAAGAAAAATGCAACCGCTTTCAGAAAAGCATGAATTTCCTAGATAAATGCTGTTCTGCAGTGCTCTGTGATAAGATCGTTAGGAATTCTTGGAGCACATAGATACACTTAATTTCCGATAACTCGAACCTACAAGGGGCCAAGGAAAATGGTTTGATTATTTGACTAAAGCGAATTAACGTAAAGTCGAACTTTGGCTTTTATGAGATATTAGTTTGAGTTAAAGCGATGTTTTTATTAATGGTAAAGTATAAAGGTTAAATATACACCGTTATACTAATAAAAGTGCGAACAATGTTTCATTAATAGAATTTACGTATTGTATTCATGCTGTACTCTCAAAAGATACCATTCTGTTTAACAATACACTAATTTCCTTTTTTTTTGTTTGGTAATAAAATTTCGTGTAAAATTTTGGACGCAATTTCAATTTTTAGCTTTTAAAAGCTAATGGTCTTTTATTTAAAAATTCATAAAAACGTTAAAATAATTGCTTTTTTATCGGTATATTACTATGATTTCTTTTTAATGTATGATTTTTTTTGAAAATGACGATTGTGTCTCTCCCGCCTTCCCTCCTTTGCTTTGAAACCTGTGTTGTTGGTCTTGGTATTATAGCATTATTTAAAGTCTGATAACGATCATTCCTATTCAGTTCTAAATACCACGAAAAAGTTAAAAAAAAAATTAGGTTATTGTTATTTATGTTTTATATGAAATGACTTCTTAAAAAAAATTTAAATTATTTTGATTTCTTTATTTCCCATTCAAAAAGTTCGAGTAGCTCAAAGAAAAACACTTAAAAGAAACGGAAAAATGGTTCAATAATAGAGTTTCAAATCAATAATAGAGTTTCAAATCTATAATAGAGTTTCAAATCTATATATTTATTAATATTTTCTATATATTTCTATATATTTCAAATCTATGTGCGGTGTTCGACTGTAACTAATAATAATAATAATAAAAAAAATTTTTAAAATTGTGTTTTTAGATATTATATTTATTAAAAAGATCTAATCCATTTTCTACATCATTTTATTATTTAAAAAAAAAACTCCATGAAAAAATGTTTCCGATTATTTTTTACAAAAGTTTTATGAAGTCATTGTAAGTCATTGTAACTTTTTAGTTGGTAAACTTGGCTAAAGATTTCAGCAGCCATCCGTCCAAAAAACGCCATTAATATAGAGACGCTGTTTTTGAACTCAACATACTTAGAATCAGAACCCATTGAGATTGACCCGTCACTGTCAAAAATATACTCTAACGTAGGTTAAAATGGCTATTAATATGCTACCTGAATTGATCAAACAGTTTTAAAGTAACTCCTAAAATCCAGTTACTAGGATGACCGTCATCTCAACATTTATTGGATTTTTTGCCAAAAAGGATGCATATAAAGTTTTTAATGATGCGTCTTAAGTTATAAGAGTCTTTTTTACTATACCGGTCAATACAGCAACAACAAAAAGACCATTCTCATAATTATAAAAACATTTTGAAAAATGTTGACATCAACTCTATTTTAAATGAATTTGTGATGGCTAAAGATGAACAACGAAGATATTTTGGGAACTTACCATAGAGTTTGTTAAATGTATTGCGTACTTATTAAGTTAAAAGTAATACGTTTTAATAATGTTATTATAACATTTAGTTTTATTTAACTTATTACGTTAATTTATAAAAAAAAAAAAAACTGTCTGAGCAATTATCAATGATAACCATTTTTTAATTGCAGGTAAAAGATGTGAGCCACACTTGCGTTTTAAGTATTTCGTTGTTTAAATTATAAAAGGAATAATTGCAATAAGAAGCCCCGAAAACTGTTAACTAATGTAAGCAATGAAATTTTTTCCCTATTTAGTAACCATCGCTGCGCGTAGTAAAAACCGCACTTTTGAAAAGTACCGTTAAGAAGTGTTTTTTGAGGGGCGAGAATAGACAAAGGAAATTAGTTGATGTTTTACTTCTTCCCATCATTTTTTTGTTAATAATTTTATTGTAGAAACCTCTGGAGTATTTTGATTTAAATTAAGTAGTTTATAACTTTAATAGTTTTTAAATAATAATTTTTGTTATTTACTTGCTTGTTCCACTTTAATTACACTTGTCTCATTTTACCCCAATAGCACGGTTCCTCTACAATCAAAAAAATTTATATATACTTTATAACACGCTGTCAATCGTAGGAAATGGTAGCAGTGCCCAAAACTGTTTTATTTGTTAAAAATTGTTTATTCAGTTTAAAAAAAGATCTTAAATTATTTTAAAAGTGTTTTTCAAATACCCACTCTCGCCGCTCTCCCCTACTGATTAAATAAATACAATATACGTGAAAAATGTGTTTGTCACGATCCAGGCGTAAACTAAAAACACGTTTATTTCCCGCGAATTTAAAACGTGTTTTTTATAGGTTTTAAAGTCAAATTTAAATGCCGCCATCTTTTAAAACTAGTTTTACGGAAATTTAGTATAATACTTTTCCATAACGGTGAAACCATTTTGGTTATTGCAAAACTATCAGTCGTGAAGCAATAATACTTACTCAGTATGTTTATGTTATTAAAATCCTTCATTGCCTGCATGAATTTTCAGTTTGCAAATATAACAATTTGAAATAAATGTTAAAATAAAAAACCTAATTTTTAGTATGCAATTTGTGATTTAAATGGTTCTGAACTTTAAAGAAAGATTAGAAACAAAAGGTTTTGACATTTTAGTTAAATAGTATGCGTATGACAGGGTATGTAGTATGCGTCCAACAGGGATGGGTTATCAATTTATGAAACTAGTTTTTTATGAATAAAGTTACATCTAATGTTTAAGCATAGTCTATAAGTGCAATATTTAACAGATAAAAGGTTCAAGACAAATATAATCGTTATTATAAATAGATTTTCTATAAATCTTTTTTAAAAACGTTTTTTATGAGGTATCAATATTGTACTAATTTTGCTTTACTGTAGCAAGGATATTTCAGAAACAAATCAACCAAAACTTATCATATTTGGACAGTTTGTTGATTATACATCAAGTTGTGCAATGAACCTCAAAAGTCTATGAATGTATTAGTTAAAAATAAAATATAATAATTTTTCGGTCATTATGGTGGGTTAAAAATAGAGTTTTTTACATCCTTTAAAGAAATAAAGCACGACTCTAAGGAAAAAGTAAGTTATAAGTTTTTGAGGTTCATTGCATACCTCTAACATCAAGCTAGTTATATGCAAAATTTCATTCTATATAATCTTCTGCATTTTGAAATATTTTTGCCACAAAAATGAACAATTTTTAAGTTTTTACCCCTTAAAAATTAGCCCTCATGGCAACCCTTTATTTATATATTTTTTTATTTTTATTTTTATCTTAGTTTCATTTAGAATTTACTTAATATATATAAAAAATTATTTAACTATAAAAAATAAAGGCTTTTTTGTTTATGGGGTTGTGCCCCCTTAAACTTGAAGGACATCCATTATGAGAAACCGAAAGTGAGGAATTTTTTTTTTAAGCGCAAAAATGCGTATAAAATTGCGTTAATTCAAAAAACCAATTGGTGTTTTAAAATGCAAGATGCAAATACAGTTTCGTTTTCACCCAATTTTAAGAATTTTTGTTAAGTTGTTATATGAAAACCCATCTTGCCCCATACGCCATGTTGCCCTGCTTTCCCCTACTATCAAAATGTTAGAAAATTCTATTGCATAAAATAATAAAATAAAACAGCAACAATAGTTGCAGTACTGTTAAAATGACGCGATAAACAAAAGTTTTGCAACATTTTAACAAGAAAAATTAAAAAAAAACAAGAAAAATTAAAAAAAAATTACTTTGTGAGTAGTTAGTTGATAGTTCCCGTATCAGTTGGTTGATAGTTCCCGTATCAGCTCGTGCCATACGCCGTATGATGACGTCTACTTATTATAGAACTCTTCTAATGAGAAAAAAACGATCTGTTTTGATCTTCTTTTTTTTCTTTTCTTTTTTTGTTACTAATTTTAAAATTTGCTTGCTTTCTTGTCTAATTGATCAAAACTCTCTCTTAAAGTCTTACAAATTTGCTTTATATTAATTATAACACCATTTAAAACACCATTTTTATTTGAATCAACTCTTTTTATATAATATTAAAAAAAAACTATTTTTTTTATATAGAATAAATAACAACAATAATATTTTAAATGTCTGTTTAGCACTTACTCATAATATTATTTTGTGCTAACAGTATTAATAAAGCAAAAACAAATGATCAAGGGTTAATGATTGCTTAAAATAATATTAAATTGCCTAATGATTATCGCCTAAATAATTAAACAAAGATGCAATTTTAAAACAAATAGTGACACTTCGAAAAAATGTGACGTAAGTTAGAGCGTTAAGTAAGTAGAGCGTAAAATAAGTAGCGCGTAACGTCATTATCCTGCTATGACGAATACAAAAAAAAAGGATAAAAACAGCAACTAATAAAGCGTTGTTAAATCATAGTCATAAAAATAAATAGTCTGGAAACACGGGTTGAAAACAATAGGTTTTGCCGTTGATGTTAGGTTCTTATCCGCGTTAGTACCCAGCCTACTTTAAGGTGCAAAACAAAACAAATTTCTTTAGAGATCTTGAATCAAAATACAATGCCTGGAGCAAATTGTTCAGTATATGGTTGTCATACCTCTCGTTATTCACATGGAATAGCTATATTCAGTCTTCCTAAAGGTCAGGATGACTTTTCCGTTCAATGGAGAAAAAAATTGAGCGAGATTATAACAAAAGATCGTTTAATTGATTCAGCTTTAAGGAAGCAAATTGCCAGTGAATCTTTGCATATTTGTGAGAGACACTTTAAAGAAGATGAAGTTAATAGAAGTAAGCTTAACTACTGTGCTTATATATATATATATATATATATATATATATATATATATATATATATATATATATATATATATATATATATATATATATAGAGAGAGAGAGAGAGAGAGAGAGAGAGAGAGAGAAAGAGAGAGAGAGAGAGAGAGAGAGAGAGAGAGAAAGAGAGAGATTTATATATATATATATATATATATATATATATTTATATATATTTATATATATATATATATAATTATGTATATTTATATATATATATAATTATGTATATTTATATATATATATATATATATATATATATATATATATAATTATGTATATTTATATATATATATAATTATGTATATTTATATATATATATATATATATATATATATATATATATATATATATATATATATATATATATATATATATATATATATATATATATATATATATATATATATATATATATATATATATATATATATATATATATATATATAGAGTGTTTCACCATTTATGAAATTTTTTTGGACTGAGCAGCAAAAATACCTTTTATCAAATCCAACATCTGTGCGATATCATCCGATGATTATAAGGTATTGCCTTAGTCTTTGTGCAAAGTCTCCTAGTGCATACGAGGATATTCGCTATGATAAAAAGTCTGGTACTGGTTTTCTTGTATTACCAAGCCGTCGTCGTCTTCGCGACTACAAGAATTATATTCATCCTCAACGTGGTTTTAATCCAGATATTATTAAAGAGTTAAAATCAAAAGTAAAAGATTTTAGTGATGTAGAAAAGTATATTGTGTTGTTGTTTGATGAGATTAAAATTCAAGAAAATCTTGTATGGGATAAACACACAGGAGAAATTATAGGATTTGTTGACCTTGGTGATATCAATTTAAATTACGCAACTTTACAAAAAATTGATGCTGTAGCCACTCATGTTCTTGTGTTTATGATTCGCAGTATAGTTAACCCTTTTAAGTTTACACTAGCTAATTTTGCAACGCTTGGAATATCATCTGCTCAAATTTTTCCATTATTTTGGAAAGCTGTTGGTATTTGTGAAATGGAATGCAAGTTAAAAGTTATGGCTACAACTTGCGATGGTGCTTCTTCGAACAGAAAATTTTTTAAAATGCATTCACGCTTATCTAATTCGAATGTTAAACAGGATGTAGTTCTCACATATAAAACAATAAATTTATACTGTCCTGAAAGGTATATTTACTTTATAGCTGACCCTCCACATCTTCTAAAAACAACAAGAAACTGTATTTACAGCTCAGGCTCTGGTAAATGTACTAGATACATGTGGAATGATGGTTTATACATTCTATGGAGTCACATCGCAGACATTTTTAAAGAAGATCAAATATGTGGTTTACATCTACTCCCGAAATTATCGTATGACCACATTAAATTGTCATCTTATTCTGTTATGAATGTCAAATTGGCAGCACAAGTTCTAAGCACTACTGTAAGTAAAGTCCTTCTTAACTATGGATCTCCAGATACATTTGCAACAGCAAACTTTTGTTCAATGATTGACAGTTTTTTTGATATTATGAACATTAGTAATCCTTATGAATCAATTCAAAAGTCAAAACCATTTTTAGTTCCATTTTCTTCTCTTGATGACAATCGTTTGAACTGGCTTAAAGCAGAATTTTTGCCATATTTCGAAAAGTGGTTAAGTTCAATTAATACCCGTCAAGGTAAATTTACTCTAAATGACAAAGGTAAAATGTTTATATCATGGCAAACCTATGAAGGAATTAAAATTACAGTGAATTCTGCTGTTGAGTTGATAACATTTTTACTCTCTAATGGTGTATCTTATGTATTGACAGAAAGATTTTGTCAAGATCCCCTTGAAAATTATTTTGGACATCAACGCCAAATCGGTTCCCGCAAGGATAATCCATCTGTCCGTGATTTTGGCTACAACAATAATACTATTCGAAATCAAAAGGTATTCAGACCAATAAAAGATGGAAATTCCTATGAAGATATTGACTTTGAGATAAACGAAGAACCAGTACCATGCAGAAAGCGAGTAAAAACTTCATTACAATAGGGTATTCATTAAAAACGGCTATTTTCATAGCCACAAATTATTAAAACACATTATTGGCAAAGTGAACAGGTAGCATGCAACGATATGCAATGTACGTTTTGGGGACACCCTTAATATATATCTTGCTGTATTGATAGATATATCTTACTCTAAGGAGCCTAATACAAGTTGGGGGAAGAAATTTATTCTAGATCTAAGCATGCAGGAGGAGGGGTAATAAAAAAGTGACATTATTTTTACTTAAAATATATCCGATTTTGCAATTTTCCGATAAAAGTTCTACTAATTCCACTGTGATGATAGTTTAAATTTTTTTAAATGTGCCTATGACATTAAGTAATACTTTTTGATCCCCCTCCCCTTAAGACTCTCACGTACTATTTAAACAGCCCCTATTTAAATAAATCATAAATAAAGTAACCCTTCTTCACCTTCTAGCATACACAGGCATTATTTATCATTAAAAATTTCAAAACTTTAAAATCCAAATTTATTGTAGGAATTTGTTAATTCAACGTTTTTCTCTATTTAAATAAGAAAAAGGGCAGTTTACAAGAGCCTTTCAAAGACAGGTTAACAATTTTAAAGTTTTCCCTTCCCCTAATGTCCATTGATTATGTCAACAGTATTAAGGCATTTTTTTCCTCATCTCTCCTCTCTTGTAAACAACTTGTCAAACTTACAGAGCTTCCCCTAGATCTAACAGAGCTTTACTAGGCTTCCCCTACAAAATTACATCTAATTTTATAAACTTCTCCCCTGATCCCTAAATACAAAACTACAATACAAACGCTTTATCAACAATTTTTGAAAATAACATCAATCAATTGATGTTATTAACAGAAAAGCCTAAATGAACCTTAATAGCAACTTCTTCCCCCTCCCTGAACACACACACTTTTTTCACACAATTTTCTTGCTTTTTCTTTCCTTAACATGCTTTAGGATCCACATGAATAATGATTGTTTTTTTACAAAAATTCCCTTTTAATTGACAACTATTTTACTAGTACTAATTTTAAAATTACCCTGTATACTTGGAGTAATTTCATGAAAACAGCAATTCTATTTTATTAAAAAATTATTATTAATATTCTGATACCATAATGTCTTTAGCCATTTGTAGCTATGAAAATAGCTGTTTAAAAAAATTGATATATTAAGATCAGGTAAGTGTATCTATTTGTCCAATGTGCAACCTATACTTGATTACTCTTCTTCTTTAGTGAAGTTCGCAGTGACTTTGACTTAAGTTGTTTAACTTTAACTTTATAAGCTTGTAGATTATCCTTGACGTAGGAAAATGTCCTTGCTCTTACATACAAATTCAAGATGTCCTCAAGAACATTTAAACAAACCTCTTTGTTAACAACAACATCAGTTTCACTTTTGATCTTTGAAAAATTTGATAAAATATTTGTGTCTTTGAGAAGTGTTAGTACAATTTCTTTACTGTCAATTTTATTGATAGACTTTGCAGCCATATTTTTAAATGTTGTTTCAGCAGTAATAAAAATGGATATTGCCTCAATTTTCATTTTCCATAAGCCTGATCTGTTACGTGTGTTCACAAGTTTATGCTCAGGCAAATCATCACTTCCTTGATATTGGGCAGCAAGTAAAATAGACATATACTGTTGGTAATACTCTTCCTTAAAAATATCTGAAAACCTGATGCGACGATATAACGTGCTAAAAACATACCCACTTAGATAGGCAATAACAGATTGATCTCTATTTGAAAGTACACAAGATTTTTCAGATAAAATTGAACATTCACCTAAAACTGATTGACCAGAAAGATGTGACAATACATGGTTACATACCTCGAATCCAAGTAAGGTGGAACACTGTGTATTTAATCCTATAAAAATAGATTCAATGTTGTCAAAGATACATTTGTAAAAATCTGGATAAAAATTTTCGGCATTTCCTCGAAATAAAGATAAAACCGGTTTAATAAACTGATATGCTGTGTTAGATATATCGAAATTAATCACATAGGCTTTAAAATGATTTTGTATTGATTCAAAGCAGTTATCTGATGAAAGCTTCGCAACACTTTTTTCTAAATATATTTGAAAATTTTGAAGATCAAGTATTTCTTCTGGTATTTTAGATTTCTCAGTATCTTTTAAAACTTCCGAGTGAACTGATAAAGCATCTGAATGTTTGCAATTAGTATGACGAGTGAGACCCCTAGAGCTCAAACATATTT